TTCGATCAAAAAATCCTGCCACAAATTCTTAATGATAATGACACTTTTTGAAAAGACCACTGAGCTCGATATCAAAGGAACATCAAACATGAGTATAATTTTAGTCTGATATAACTGTCTATCACTTGAGGAAAATGTGGAAAAGGCAGAAAAAAAACTGAATTTTAAAACCATTACTGTTGGAAATTTAAAAAAAAGGTTTTTCGTGCTTTTGTGAATTAATATTTATATGTTTCTACCTTGTATAAGCTTTCTTAAAATTGCTTTTAATATTTCAATCGTAACTGTTTTAAAACTGCAATTAATTCCATTGTCATTTCTTTTAGCCCGTTTGCAGATAATCTTCAAGTTCGCTTTAAAGTTTGTAAGACTTGTCACTAATTTTCAGACTGCTCTAACATAAAGGATGTACAAAAATAATTTTCGCTTTTAATTTTCACCCTCAAAAAGGTGAAAAACTGAAATCAGTGAGAACACGATTCAAACTAAGGGCAAACTGTTTCTTTTACATCACGCGACGAGATGAATGAACCAAAAAACTAGATCAAAGTAATTTATTTACGACAGTGCCTTCACTGAGTGACTTAGTGAGTAAGTGAGTTAACATTTGCATATCATACTCACAACTAAGAACAATTCTACACTTCGCTGAGCTGCAAGTTAACAAAGTCGATGTACTTCAACGCGGAAGCTGTGTCAGTCTAGTGGTACACATGGTCTACAAAGTCTTGCGTAAGAAGATAGGTCATGTGAAGAACAGACCGTTACTTGACTGATTTCCTATAATCTTGTCGTAGTGTTATTGATCAGAACGCTTACTTTTCAAATGGATGTAGGCTGCGAACCTCTACCATTAATTTTGTTCGATTGCCTTGTTAGGCTATACAATAAACCCAAACAACTTTGGTTAAAAATCAAGATATTTTTCTGGTAGTATTTAACTAAGTCATGATATATACCTGCATAAAAGTGGGAAAAAGAGGATTACAATCTTTTTACTTCAGTTACGTTGTCACACACACCTTTGTGTAGTAGATACCTGCTAAAATTTTTAACCAAAACATTTGTCGATATTCTATAAAGATAAAAAACATGCAGAATCGTATTGTGTGGTTCTAACATTAGTCAAGATGTTTTGAAAGTTTTTGACCTCTTTCGAGCTACAAAACACTTACAAATCATGGCATGGGTTGGCCTCATTATTGAGCTTTAACTTTACGGTCACATATGGGATAAGTAACTTTTTTTATCGCAAAGCCATACATGAATGTTTTTTTCAGTCCTGTCCTGTCCTGTGAGTATTAAGTCATGTTATGTTGTGCAAAAATCGCCACTGAATGAAATGAATTCGTCACAAAGCCGGAGTTCGTCAAACCTCTGTAGCCTCACATATTGCTCATCATTCTCATCAACTAAGGATAGATTAGTTTTCAGTAACATTCATCTGATAAGTAAGCTCGTTACCTGGTAATAGCTTGCTACAACAATATTTTCAAATGTTCCATGCCATAATGCGGAATGTCAGGATATCTTCCAGACAGTTGTGTTAAAAGGTTATCTCTCTTGTTAGCCTAAGAATTGAAACGCTTAAAATTTGAATGCATGTAGCTTGATCCCTTGAGGCTTTATTGTAAATACATTCTGACGGCCGGTAGAAATGCGGATGGAAAACGAAGCATTATAAAGATACGGCAGACCATTCTTTGCAAGTTTCTTTGCGGAATACTGGCAATACAACATCATTGATTCCCCAAGATTATCAAATGCTCTAATGAAGGGATAACGCTCGAAACGTCTGCTTCAGAAACTCTTTACGATGGCCAATCTACATAGTCAACTCAGCCGGTAAAGCCAAATTATTTTGCAATACCCCACAAAAGTTTGTCTATAAACTTAACCCGTTGATTAATGTTGTTTATAGAAACTATGCATGGGGAAAGTTCTCATAGCAAAAGTGAAGATTAATGCTGATTTGTTTATCTTTGTCCTGTGACTTTAAGGCCATATCATGTTGTACAATAAGTAAAACGAAAGGTGACAAACCGAGTTGATCAAATCATTGTTACCTGAAATCTTGGCAATCATCCTCATCAGTTATGAATAAATTCGTTTTCAGCCATATAATTTAGATAGGTGAGCTCATTACTTGGTGATAAACTGTTAGAGGAACATTTTCAAATGTTCTAGAACGTTATAGTTGAAGGTTTATCAATCCTTCTTGGGTTTTTAAGAAACCCACGACCTTTCAAAAACCCCCCCTAATTGATGACAAGACCCCCCGACACACGACCATTAATCAAACCCAAGCATGGGGCTTTTTTAATTTACTAGATAAGATGAACAAACGAAACAGTTAGATCAAAAATCACTTAAATAACAGTTGACTTTCACAGCGTGACAGTCACATAGTCCGTTTCAAAAAAAACTGTGCAGGTCAAATTAATTTTACAAGTTTCACCAAATGTGATCCGTTGATGTACTTATCCTCTTCTTCACTTATTTTTTGTTTTAAGTCGATATTGTGAATTCCAACACTTACAGTTCGTGACAAAAAGTTTCCAGGTGTAAGAGACCCAGCCCGTTTTTGTAACTTAACATGTGTGTTCCTGTTTGTAGTGACTCATAATGAATCTAGATTATCAACTCGTTTAGTATTGTGTTACTGAAAATAATGTTTCCCTGATAACAGGAGAGGATGGCAATGGAAACCTAACAGCGTAAGCCATGATAGCTTTCATGAGCATCGCCTTACTTGTTGCCCTGTTCCTGCTCAACTCAGATCGCATTCAGAAAGCCATCGAGGCATGCCAGGAATGTTTGATTTTGCTAAATAGCACCGATCAAAATAGCAAAGACCAATTTAATTCAGTACTGCGACAGTTTTACATCGACATCTACACGCTTCTTTTCAACTCTTATCGTCATATCTCCGACCACATAAGTGCGGAAAGATACGGCAGAAAACTGTTTGTCTTAAACAGCAAGTCTGGAATTATGCTTTCTAAACTTAACGAAATCCTAATGGAGTGAAAAGGTCATAGACAGGCCTACACAGACTCCCCTGTGTGGTTTTACGTTTGCGACGCCGAAGCCTTTAATTAAAGCTTCGCTCTGACGAGTATGTCTTTGAGCGATTTACCTCTTTTGTATGATATAATCGGAGGCGTTTTGTAAATTGTTTTCAGCAGTGGCTGATTTTGGATGAGGTTCCATTCTTGCATCAGTATTTGTTTTAAATTTTTAACCCCTGGGTGGTATGCTGTCACAAAAGGCAATATTTTGCCTTTAGTTTTTTTGGTTTGTTTTTTAAGTGTCGACTGCCTTGCGGCAAACGAGACCTCAGATAACGTTTTTTCAATTAGGCTTTTTGGGTAACCACGTGCTTCAAGTCGTGTTTTGAAGTTACACATGGCCTCCTGGAAATTTCTTTCCGAGGAGTTTGTTCTTAGAAGTCTGATAGCTTCTCCTTTAATAAAGCCTTTCTTAACACCTGGCGGGTGGCAAGATGAATAGTGTGTATATTGAGAGGTCTCGGTCGGTTTGTAGTGAGTTTTGACGTCGAGGATAGCTTCGTTTTGGAATCTTTCACTTTTGTAGACAACCGTGTCTAAGAATGTGATTTCAGTCTCTGAGATTTCAGCCGTGAACTTTATAGTTGGATGGAACGTGTTAGCTTGTTCTATGAATAGATCAATGTCTTGTTAACGAACATCCCACAGGGAGAAAACGTCGTCAATGTAACGCTTCCATACTCTCGGCTTGATACTGCTTTGGTGAAGCAGTTTTGTTTCAATTTCTGCCATAAAGAGATTGGCGAAAGCAACCGCCATTCGTGTTCCCATGGCAATTCCAAAACATTGGAGATAGTTTACTCCGTTGAACTGGAACGAATTTTCTTTCAGTATAAGCCCGAGCATTTGTTTTAAGTAGTGGGACGGAATGGGAGGGCTGTTATTGTGGTATTTTTCGTATGCTTGGCATACTATTGTGATACCCTCTTCTTGTGGGATGTTTGTGTACAAGCTTGTTACATCCATTGATACTAAAATAGTATCATTTGACACTTGCGTTTTCTCTATAAAGTTGATGAAATCAGTCGTATCTTTGAGATACGATGTTTGCTTTTGAGCAATAGACTGTAATAAATGATCCACAAAGGATGATATCCTTTCAGTTGGTCCTTCGCAGCCCGATATAATCGGTCTACCCACTGGCAAAGGTTTGTGGATTTTTGTTAAAGTGTAGAAAATCGGTATTCTGGGCGGATTGGGAGTCTGTGAAAGCCACTTTTTTGTCATATCGTCTATATGTTTGCCATTGTGCAGTTGAGCAATAAGCTCATTAACTTTTTTTAATGTGTCAGTGACCATGGGGTTTTCAAGAGGTCGGTAGTGGTCTCTGTTGTCGAGCTGAGCCTGGGCCTCTTGAATTTTGTCCCTCTTGTTGACAATCACTGTTGTGGTGCCTTTGTCAGCACGTTTAAGGTTGATGGCAGTATTGTTTTGCAGTTCTTTGACTGCTTTGTGTTCGTTGTATGACAGGTTGTGATTTGGCTTTGTTATTTCTATTTCAGCAAGGCTTAACTTGATATTTTCGAAGTAGCGTTCAAGGGCAATAGAAGGTTGTACTGGTGGTATCCAGTTTGATTTGACGTGGAAAGGATGTGGTTCCTTGTCATTCCCGTGGAATATATATCTAAGTCTCATTCGCCTAGCGAATTGTTCGAAGTCACGCAACAATTGTTGCCTGATCTTATTTTCATTTGTCACGGGTGTTTCAATAAATTTAAGCCCTTTTGCTAACACGCTGACTTGGTGATCAGTTAATGTATTGTCTGAAAGGTTTTTAAGGTATTTTTCATTTTTCTCCCTTTCTGTAGTCACTCGCTTGTGTAGTGTATTTTTTCTACGCTTTTTGCGTTTATTATTCTTGGATAGCCTTTTTGCTGCAGTGGGTTTGGCGACTGATTTTTCAGAGATGACACTGTTGTACTTTTCAACATGTTTATTATCACTCTGAAAGCGTGTACATATAAGGTCTTTCAGCTCTGAAAGCTGATTTTCTATTTTGTCTATCCTGTCGACATCAGTATTTACAGTGTTCCTCAAGGGCGAACGTGATCTTTCACGTGTATTTATATTGTATTGTGATCGAGACTTGGCAATATTAGCCTTTCCAAGTTTGTTCTTGTGACTAACAAGTCTACGCTGATGGAAGCGCACTAGGGCGCTAACGTATTGTTCTTCGGCGTGACTTTTAATAGCGCTTATTTCCTGTCGAAAGGTTTCGTCAGGCGTGACGTTTGCCTTCGCCTTGTATTGAAACGACTTAGGGCAAGTCTTTTGTTGTAAGTGTCTCTCCAGTTTTAAAATGGAGGTTTCAGTTTTTTGCTTCTTGAACTGGATAGCGCTGATGGTGTCTTCATGTTTCCTCTTCCTTGGCTGCCGCGTGGATCGGCTATTCCTCGGAAGGTTTTCTTTTTGACGGCTTTCTTTTTGAAGGCGTAGACCTTCGTTGCTGCGTTGTTTGGCTAATTCAGCTTTATGCCTTGGCTCGAGTTGTGATGCTGGAGGGCTATCCTCTGGGTCCGATTCTAGGTTCGGATCAGTGTACGTTAATTCCATCGCCTCGTCCAGATTTGGACGGTAGTCTGGCGTTTTTGGTGGCCGCAATGGTGTTTCAAAAGCTGACATCTTTTTCAGGTAAAACTGAAAGTGAAGTATATCGTCTAGCAGGACCGGCGGTTTCGATTCTTAAAGAATCTCTTCAGCTGCTTTGTTAAGTCAGGCTGTGTTAATCAGGGACAGGCAGAGAAATTCATCTTTTTTTCTTTGTACTCAGGTGGAGAAAGGCATTATAAGGTGGAGTCAAGTGTGCTGCATAAGAACAAGACACAAACAAAAATTAACAACTAATGTGGGCTTATTTACCTCTTTCAGCATTTATTTCTTAACTCCTCCACACTGACTTGAAGATTTCAAAATTGTAGTTAGGAGGTAACTGTTGTAAAAGGAATAATTATCTCGGTTAGAAAGTAATATTTACCCTGATCTCTATTGGTGCAAAATCTGATATATAGAAAATGAATTGTAGCTAGTTGGTTAAACTGTTGTGACCTGTTTTTGATGATGACCATTCCAGACAAATAACAGTTATCTAGAACACACTCTTTGTAAATGCCTCACATTTCAAATACATGTAAAAAAAAAGTTGCAAAAAAAAAGGTTTGGACAAGGATGGTTAATTTAGTACACAGACTGCAAAATTAAAATAAACTTGGAAAATAAGATCTGATTCTTAAATAACAATCCTACAGGCCTCAGTGACATCATGACATGCTGAAAAGGATTCAAGTGTGTGTAGAGCAACTTATAATACATTTATACTTAGAGAAGTCACATTTTAATTTCTTTCCACACTCAGTCCGCTGACTGAAAATCCCAATGATGAACCTAGTTGGATTTTATAAAACTAAATCAGTTGAAAGGGGCTTGAAAGTAATTAACTTACTTTTTCAACCCTTTGACTCCCAAGATCTCATTAGTAATTCTCCTGACTGTCTGCCCAACAATTCTTTTGATGTCAGTTCTGAGAAGTTGGGTATTGGAGCAGCTATTAATCCCCTAATTGATATTTTTCTTCATTCTCATCACTTGTCTGCTTGATATTGTACTGATATTGTGAGGAGAAATTCTTTCCTGGTCACTTATGGGGTTCAAGGGTCAAGTGAACCGAGGGTCATGTGAAGTTTCTCATTATTTACCTGCCTTACAGCATCTTGCAGCTCAAGATTGTTGCCAATCTCATCTGGAATCTGACGAACAACTCTTCTCTTATTTGCTCCTATTTCTTGAATAACGGGGAATGTAAGGCATTTCAATAACAGTGACTATTTTTTTTTAATCCCTTGACAATATTTGCTCAAGGAACAGAAAGTTTGATCGGAATATTTTCAGCAAGATTTCCGTACAGTCCCATACAATTGTAAAACAAAGGTAATCTATTGTTTTCGCCATCGTTTTCTTTCAGTTATCCAAGATATGTATGCATAATGAAGAATGGAGCTGAGCGGAAATCTTACCATATTATCCCCCAGGGATCAGAGACTTAGGCATGTATACTGGGTCCAGGGCTGGGGATTTCGACTAGTATATCAAATTATAAGTAACAGTGCAAGGTTACAGACAAGGAAATTAAAACAAAACAAACCAAAACAAGCAACTCAACTCAAACTCAGTTTTCATCCATTTATTGGGCTTAGGATACATATTAAAGTACAACATGAACGTAAAAATTATACCGTGTGCACCTAAAGGAGAGGAATACGACAAAAAAAGGAAGAGAAAGGAAGAAATTGCGTTAAAAATGGGTTTGAGAGTGGGAACGATTACAATTCTGTTCCTTCGACGTAAACGTGTGCACGTGCATAGTGAATTACAAGCCGATATCAACTACATTGTACCTACGAGTTTTTCAGTCGTCTTTCCAGCGTTAGACTTAGTTCCCACAAATCTCCTTCTTATGTTATTCTCGGCAGAAACTCGAGTACAACTCGCTTTGTCCTCTAACGCGCAGCCTTCTGATGCCTCGGCCATGTTTGGTAGGTAAACCATGTTTCACCGCATATGAGGGATTTAGGGCTGTGACTAAAAGTGAGACTGAGACGTGAGGACTGGGACTCGGGGACGTCGGACGTTCGGCTAGATTTTGCCTGTTTGACCGTGAGAACTCTGGGTACAGAATAATTTCAACGCAGGGGGTTTTAAGAGGCTGTCTCTCTTATTTCCACCCGGTCAATTTTGCGTCAAAAATAATTTTGCCTGAAACTCTGTTAACAGAAAGACTTTAGCTAGGAAAGAACTAAATTAGATTTGGTTTGATTCGAAATAATTTTCTGACTGCATTACGGGCCATAATTATTTCCCAGTCCGTAGGGACCGTCGCAACGTCTCGAAAATTGAAAAATAGGCATATTTTGTAACGTTGTAACATATTTGATTCGCATGGTTAAGCCACAGAATTTATATCAGATTGCTTAAAAACCTTTCTAGTTTGCCAAGAAAGTTAGAATTTGCCCTCTCAACAAATTTGAAAAGGCGAATTTTAGCATATTCTGACCACTAGAAATCGCCATCGGCCAATGGCCGTAAATAACCTTGATTTAGACGTTAAGTTTTGGGACCTGGTTGACAACTCTATTTTACACAGCTGTTAAGTTTAGAATTTTATAGGAAAAAATATGCAAAAACCCCTGTACGTTTTCGATTTTTCAAAAGTTATTACCGTTCGAGTCAGCACATGTACGAGCATTCGCAATTTTTTTCGCGTTCACCAAAATCGAACCACTGGAGCAGATTTCGTCATAAATACAGCTTACCCGCTTTGCAGCCCGGCTTCATGGCTCACTTCAGAATTTTTCTAATAACCAAATTGGTGAAATCCATGATAACTTCAACAAATAGCTAGGTATTGCCTTCGAAAAGTAGGCGGCATCCATCGTGATTCGTGGTATCAAAACAAATGCCGGAATTGGCCACATTTCGCGGTGAATCACCCATTTAACATCGCTGCAGAGCTGAATTTTTTCCAAAATCAGAATATAAACTCTCCATGTCTGGAAGCTGAGGGAGAAATGAAAGTTTTAGGCTTCTGAAGTGAAGAAATAATCGCTTAAATTTAGATCCAGTTCGATGTTATACTGTTCTCACAAAGGTCCGCACAAAAGAGAAGACCGCTGATAGCTTGTGCCGTACGTTGTGCCATATGGTTTTGTTTTGTATCCCAAAGTAATATTTGGGCAGAAAAATTTTGGATGAAAAGAATAAATGCTTTTACCTGGAGTTTGATATCATATAATTAATAAATCAATTTCAAATATCCTGAGCTTGCTTCTCTCGGTTCCGCGTCGATTGTGTCCACAGAACAGCAACCTGTCAATAGCCAGAGAAATCGGCTACCAACGTGTTAAAAACTTGACACATGCTTCGTATGAACAGATGTTATAAGTGTTGCTTTTGGTAAATTTTCAATCGATTTCATCAAAACATTTCACTGACTACTAGATATTATAATATATTACACTATAACAACGCCGTCAGAACTTGATATCGGAAGTAAAGGTAGTTTGTATCTGTAGAGCATATTCTACACTTTCAGCCACCGTATAAGACATTGTTTACATAAGTCTACTGAGAAACACACTGACAATCACTAATCACGTCCGACAGTTTGTCTATGAGGATCTGTTTTTTGTCCCTCAATTTTACAGGGATCTCAAAATGACTACAGATGGCTCTCAACAAAACCACATTGAATTTCTGAAGTGTGTTATTGTGGTAACGTTCACAGAGTTCCTACGTATCGTAGCAGATTGGATGTGAGACTTTGACCTCTTTGTTAACTTTGTCTACCAGATCTTATCTCTCGGAATTTTCCTGGACGCATTGGATATCTTCCTCCTCATCCAGTGATATCCCGATCACACCCTGATCTTTTCGCCGCATTGCTGCTAGTCGGGAGAAAAAGCTCTGAACTTGGTTCTTTGTCAGCTACTGTTCTCTAGTGAACAAACGTGCATTTGATTCATTTTTCGCATTTCGCATGTCCACTGCAACTTGGGCGGGGTCGGCCTTTCGCCCAGTTCTTTCTCCAAGTGTAAACCGTGCCGTTAGGTATTCTTTTACCTTCTCTGAAAATCTAACGCTGCCCCTTGGTTTGCTTACGGCCCATCCTGTTCGTAAAGACGAGTGGGGCGAAGTATCCACGGGAGAAGTGAGTGGTGTACTAGAATCTAACGAACAGCTCGAACACTCGATACCAGCGGTATCTATCGACGAGAACTTAAGGACCCAGTCCCTTTTGATTGCATCATACTGGCTTTAACCTGCTGACTGTATGCTTTCCAACGTCCAGGTGCAGCTCCAGCTGCGAAAAGGTTTCGAACACTTCAACACATCCAAACACAGAGCATTCAAACAATGGCGTTGTACTCTCTGTTTCTTTGCTGCCCTTTGAACGATGCTTGACCACACGCTTTTCAGGAGGATCATAAAACCCTTGAGATTCTATGGTTTGAAGGGACGTTTGACCTTGGTGCTTGATATAAATTACGTCATATGGAATGTACTTCCCTTTACCGATGCCATAACATTTCCAAACTCTCAGACCGATATCTCCATATTCGAATCGAAGTTGTGGAAGCTACTAAAATGCTCAATCTTATTTATACAGAGAGTGTTCTTTGATTCGTCTACTATTCTTACTGCAGCTGTTGTTCCCTTCACTGGGTGTTTCGTCAATGCGTATCCTCTGTCCAATGAAAGCTTTAACAACCTCGCTGAAGACTCGCTACAGACTGAAGCCTTTCTGGTTTCGAAAAAGCACTTGCATGCCTTCCAAAAAAAATAAAGGGTTAGCGGGTTCACCCGCAATGATTAGTGCGGACCTCTGTTATGCGCGATAGTGCAATCGTTCAGCTTTAAATTCCAAAACGCCAAACTTCGCCACATAGACTTACAAGTGGAGTTCTATGACTGATTCTTGAAGAGAATGCAGCTGCAATCCAAAGTTTCAACGGGACATTAAGCGCGAAACATGGCTTTAGTTTTCGAGTTTAGTTCGCAACAACGAGTCAAAGAAGAGTATCGACAGATGCCGACCGCTCAATTTTGGAGGTATTTGCTGGAGTTATCAT